ATACTCGACCGTGAGGTTATTTAGAGAACAACTGTGTTGACATGATATTATTGCTTGCCGATTATGAAGCTGCTTGGTATATTTGGTTTTTATTAATATACAAAAGAACACTCTAGCTTTCTTGTATTGTTTTAATCAGTGACTTCACAAACTTTATTCTTATGATTATTATAGGTCAATTCGACCTCGTGAGTCAAAAATGCCTCGACTGTTTATGTGAGGTAAGTTTACTGGAAGTTAGTGTTAAGTAACACAAGGTTGAATGAGTAAAATAACTGTTTGGTTTATGCTTACTTTCCACATAAACAAAACTTTTGTCTTAAGAAAGTTGCAAGAACATTACTTACAAACACGACACTTGAGTAGTCAAGTTCTTGTCATTGCCACCAGATTGTGGCATTGTGAGTAATGCATAAGATGACTTTTTATTATTGAACTCTGAATGATTGGGCCTAATTTTTGGTCGACGTGTGTGTCGTAGTAAGATTGAGAAGGTACTTGTTTAACATGTAATTTTACTAGGCGTTACAGTTACAATTCTGTAGTAAAAATAAATAAACAACCCTTAACATTATAAAGTGGAGCATGCGCTGATATTGTTTCTTTGATGCTGAAATAATTGTACTACTGGCTAGATAGAGGGCGCTCAAGGTTTTTTGGCTGATGTTCTTATCGCGTTTGACACTTAAAACTGTGGGTGTACGCCGAACTGTAGCAATTGATATCACGGAAACAAGAATTCGTGATGGCTAAGAAAATCTGATATACTAACTGTGTTTTTTTTTTCTCATTTTGTTGTAAAAAATATTATTTAATTAAATATTATTATTGTTTATTTAACCTTTATAGAAAATGTAGCGGACTTGATGTTATTATATACAATTCATGGATAACTCGGCGAAATTTTTAAAACATCGTGACTTAGCCTCTTATTTATTTTTCATAGCTTTATAACATCAAACGTGGGGATATTTCAGCTGAATAACACCACAAGTGAAAAACCCAGTAACTGATATTTATCTAACATTTTTTCATTTGTCTTTTCCAAGTGTCTCTTAATCAGTTGAACGTGAAATTAGAGATAACACTTTTCTGTGAACTGAAGGGGAACTATTATACAGAACAGTGCCATAATAAGTTTAGTCTTTTTGGTTCCAGGTCAGATTTTAATAGTCAGCTTTCATACCGCGGTAGTCCGAACAGCCAGTGTTCAATCCGCAATCGTACGATACATCAGCGTTCAGTTCGCGGTAGCACAATACAACAGCGTTCAGTTCGCGGTGGCATAATACAACAGCGTTCAGTTCGCGGTAGCATAATACAACAGCGTTCAAGTTGCGGTAGGTCAAATGAATATCTTTAATGTGTATTAACACAATATGACCTTGTTTATTTTATGTTAGAACAACGCAACAACATACATATTTTTATTCTGTATTTTGTGTGTTATTGCTAAAGCACTTTTATTTTTACTTTGTATTTATAGCAAAGCTGCTAAGGCTGTAGCCATCCATAATTTGAAACTACCAATCGGAGGGTAGGCAGCCAGTCAGCAGCACCCTAAAACCAACCATTCACGCTTATGGATTGACTGCTGCTCTTATAACACACCCACAGATTTAAGTGTGGGGAATATTTTGAGGTATAAGTTTTTGAATGAATATTTGCATGTGTTGGAAAGATCCTGTTAGTTCAGCACACTGAATCTAGCTTCTGGATACTACAACTCAAAGTAGACAATGAAAGAAGACCTAACACTTTTTCAGCACTGTATTATTTCTACAATCATGTCATTCCATCTGTGTAATGTACCCACAACTTACACTTGAATGGGAGATATGTTTCATCCATGTGTTTGGTATACTAGTTTTTGGTCACACGTTTCAAGCCATAGCTGAGAACTGGATAATAGTATTTAATTCGTCAAAGATGCAGAATTCAAATTCAAAACAGAAAGGTGTATGCTCGTGTGTGTGAAATTGAAGTTCTTCTGTAAATCGACTGGTACAGATGGAGTGAGCTCTGGTAGTGTAAAGGTCGAAATAACTTGTTATCAACCATAAAGTTAAACAACGATCCATCTATAGTGTGCTCGCCGCGAGAATCGAATTACAATTTTTAGCGCAATATTATTTTATTACACAGATTAATTTACATTGTTATCTTAATAAACAGATTTACGACTCACCTCATCTAACCTGGTCAGAACTCGTGAGATATTATTGGACGAAAATATAGTTAACCAATTGATAAAACAATGTTTTATAATATTTCCAGAACATAAGAACAGGGCCTTTAATTAGCTACACCCAACACCGTGATGACTTATATTTTTAACGTACGTAGAAACTTACCCTGATTGGAAGTTAATATTAATATTTTGTTGAAAATTGATGACTTTATAGTTTGAGACTAAGTTGGCAGCAGTTTTTTGATTGATAATAGATATAGAAGCAATGACCCTACATACCAAATTTGATGGAGATCCATGTACATGGGGGTGAAGTAGAAGTAAAACATGCAGTAATGCAAAAACTTGTATAAGACAAGTACTAGGTGCAAACTTCGAAAGAGCTTTTATCACCAGTTCTCGTATATGCCTTGCATATTTAAGAACTGGTTTTCGCGTGGCAACATCTGGAGCTATAAGCAGTACACAGCGTCGTGACCTTAACGCTTGTCTTTCCTTTTAAAATATTCAGGACATAGACAACATAATCCAAGGACCAAACACTGAAGGACTAATAACACTTATGAATCATTAAAACCTAAATTTAATCTTATGAAAATACACGGTTACCAAGAGTTTTAATACTAGAAAATGCCCCCACCATCATCCCAGTGGTTCAACGGCAAGTCTGCAGGCTTACGACGCTAAAAATCTGGTTTCGATACCCGTAATGGGCAGAGCACAGATAGCCCATTGTGCTTAACGATAACCAATAAAAAATAAATTTGTTTTGTTTATTGTAATATTTTTTCGTATGTTTCCGTTTCTTGTATAGTAGGAGACTAATAAGCTTTTACGTAATGTTAACTTCGTCGCCTTTGTAAAGCTTAAATTCGAAAAATGCTCATCACCTATGGGCCTGGTATGAGGGTCACGAGTTCGAATTCCCGTCACCGAACATGCCCTTTCAGCCATGGGGAGTTATACTGTGACGGTCAAACACACTATTCGTTGGCAACAGAGTAGCTCAAAAGTTGGCAGTGGGTTACGTTGAACAAGAGAGAAAAAAGACGAATTATCTTTTCTCAGTACCCCCGAACATTACAATTAATCCCCACATTATCAATGGGGAATCCATCTGGACTTTTTATGGCACTTTTTTAAAACTATTTATGCATCAAGTTGGTTGTGGCTCCATGAATCAGTTACAGCCTATCTACTAACATAGGTATGGCCAGGTAATTAGGGTGCTCGACTCACAATCTGTGGGTCGCGGGTTGAAATCCCCGTCCCATCAAACATGCTCTCCCTTTCAGCTGTGGGAGTGTTATAATATGACGGCCAATCCCACTATTTGTTGGTAAAAGAGCAACCCAAGAGATGGCGGTGACTAAATAGCCCTCGTAAAGCTTTGCGCGAAATTCAAACTACCATGGAGGAGGTAGGGTGGTGAGTAAATAGCCCTCGTATAGCTTTGCGCGAAATTCAAACTAACATGGAACAAGTATAAGCAAAAATATCGTAAATAATGAAATTAATCCAACCATTTATTTATGTCATGTATTTTACAGGGAAAATAAGTAATAGTACCCAGTTCTTGTTCATATCTTTATACTGAGTAATGCAACAGGCTAACCTATATGCAATAATCCTTTGTATCATTGTGACACATTTTTCGTATTTCATCATATGGTGTAATCTTTAACGTGCATGAAAGGTTGGCACTTCTATTATGAAATCAATTTCCGTTTCAGCTTTTTTTTCAACCTCTTCCCTAAGAATTTTGCAGTGAGTTTCCGAGCCAAAAGTACGGTGGCTAAAAATATCATTGGTATTGCTAAAGATGACATTGAGAATAGTACTTACTAAAGGTGTGGCCTTACAGCGATACGATACATAAATCGCATCGTGAAGTCATGATACGATACATCGTCTGATACGATTTATGTATCCTCACGACATTTGGCAAGCTTTCAGTAAACATTATAAGTCACTTGTACAGAAAAAATCAGAATTTCTAATAAAGTATTTTTGTTTAAAAATTAATGATTCAGTAAAGGAAGATGAGTATTGAGTACTGCATGTTGTCTTCATTTCTTTTATCAAATTAACATAATTAACAATAACAAAATAGACATATATTAACTTCTTTATTTTACTTCTCTTGCCAGTTGCCATTTAGTTGATCAAACCTGAGAATTTGAAAAGAGCACTGTAAAGTGTGA